TGTCATTTTAATTACCAGTCAGTGTCGTTGTTTTTTCTGACCTATTCAGTCATTTTTATATTACATTCTTTTAATACTTCCATATTAACTTTATTCGTATCATACGTAGTGATTACTCAGTAATTTATTTCATGTTATTGTAATGTGCTCTGCAAGAAAAAACTAGCTTACTTAAAGATATATCAGTTCTAGATTTTTTTAAATATCTTTGACATGTTATTTTATTACATCTTAAATAAAGAGTCTTTTGCAACAGCAATATATACTTTTATTAAAACAACCTTTGCAAGAAATGTGTTATATCGCATCCTACGTTTTATTTAATTACATTACGATCAGGGAGATAAGACAAAACTGGATTAGTATATAATCTATGCAAGCAAGTCCGTCATAATAAAAAAAACATACCTTTAAGCGTTAAAGGTTTTATTAAAAATATATTAACAGGATACGGCCCAGACTCAGTAAATAATGTTATTTCGTACGTATATCATAATTACGTTTGTGGTTTCTTTATGTTAATATTAGATTACATGGTTTTCCCTTAAAAATACCCACGTTTGCGAAACGAATTTTTATTGTGGACTTTTTTTGAGACAGACATTAGTAAAATAATTTTGGTTAAATGTTTAAACGAATGCTTTATCATTCTTTTTTTGATACAGTACCATCCTTACTAATATTATAAATTGGAAAGTGAGTTTGTTTGTTTGTTCCTCTTTCGCGCCGTAACTACTAAACCGATTGCTTTGAATTTTGGCAGCCGTAAAGTTATAAGTCTAGATTAAATTATAGGGTACTTTTTATCCCGGATAAATTTGATATTCTTGAGGGAAAACGAAATTATTGTTATAGATGGCGCTGTGTGTATTGGTATACATATATCACATAGGGTACTTTTTATCCTTTTGTGACGCGAGCGAAGCCGCGGGTAAAAGCTAGTAAAATATAATTTGTACAATTTTCAACAGTCTGTTACTGTCTCGTTATCCGAGTGGTTACAAGTGCGACTTAGTAGTAGCACAGAGTCTAGAATCGTGCCCGGTGTATGGCAATAGGCTCTAGGCTCACCCCCTATTACACGGGATTCATAACATAAATAGTGTAAAGCAAGTGTTACATTGTACAGTGGCATTAAGTGCCGTGATGTGCACCACTGCCTACCCCTTCGGGGATATAGGGCGTGATGTTATATTATATTACTAGCGACCCGCCCGGCTTCGCACGGGTGCAATGCTTATGTAAAAATAACTACTATATTACACATATATTATACATATAAACCTTCCTTAAGAATCACTCTATTTATTTAAAAAAACCGCATCAAAATCCGTTGCGTAGTTCTAAAAATCTAAGCATACAAAGGGATAGTCAGACGGCGGATAGCGACTTTATTTTATACTATGTAGTATTATTTTATGTTTTTAAATTATGTTAGGCTTCTTATAGTTTAAATTGAAATATATGGTTTGTATTTGGAGAAAATGGGCCTGTTAAAGTATTTTTACTTATCGTTACTAAGAATCATAATAATATAATATAATGTACATCTTCTTTCTTTGTAAAACAAATAATAATATACATTCAAAAGCAGAGTGTCCAATACTATTTGACTTTCTGTATATTTCTATTTGAACAAAAGAATACATAGTAGATAATAATAAGAAAAGAAGTCAACCAAACATAATGCCGTCCAAGGTATCCTTGGAATTCGAGATTTCTCAAAAGAATCGTTTCAATGCAGATGGAAACGATCAAGGCGATAAGCAGCGCATTTTAAATGAAGATGTTCGTATGCTCTCGGATATGTTCGGCTATTTTCGGTTCCTGGTTGACAACGTACGCAGAAATGTTGACCAGAAAAAAATAATACTTTTTGCAATCTAAAGGGCCCTTTTGTTTTGGGAAACTGTTTCGAGGCTTGGTTATTTGTTTACTTGTTTTGATAAGAACTTTTGTGTATCTACGTTATTTAAAATTTTAAGTAAAATATTTACGAAATAGTAAAGGCGTAGTTACATGTTACATATACATACATATACCTTTACATATACCAACCGTAGCACGTTGCCAACGTGTGACTGTGTTTTCCAAACAGGAAACTATTATCTCTTCATAATAGTGAATATTACATACTTCAGAATAGTATTTTATGACATTATTGTCAATTTAGTGTCTATTTACTTGCAAAATGTCTTATATTTTCCTATATGACAATAGGCTCACCCCCTATTACATGGGACTCATAACATAAATAGTGAAAAGTGGGTATTACATTGTACAGTGGTATAATGTGCACCTCTGCCTACCCCTTCGGGGATAAAAGGCGTGATGTTATGTTATGTTATGTTTACTTGCAACTACATTAGCAACTTTGTTCAGTTCAGTATTCTGAAAATCTTGTTTTATACCTTTTCAGCATCGTTTTTAGTCGTAGTTGGGTTTTAGTTTTTCTACTTTTTATTATATTACATCAGTAACAACAAAAGGTCAAGCAAATTAATTATCAAAACCTCTATAGTATTCAGAGTTTAGACTATACAATGTAACTCGGAACTCTAAACCTTGAATACTATATCACAAATATTATATTTGTTTCGGTAGAACCCAGCTAGGTCTTAATAATTAATGATAATTTGAAATTCCATCCCACTGAAAGGATCAAATGGAGTTAGAGTTAGAAAATTTGTATGGCTTTACACTTAATTGGCCGTAATGAAATGAGTTCTGTTTCCACTGTGAGGCTAGTTTCAATCGAGATATACACAAAACGTTATGGCGGCCCGGAGGTTTAAGACGCCTGCTTCTCATGCATCAGGGTGCGGGTTTTAGACCTACCAACGGCAAGTACCAATGTGACTTTTTCCGAGTTATATGTAGTTTCTAAGATTATTTAGACACCACTGACAATCAATGACGAATAACATCATGAGGAAACCTGAGCTTATATTTGCTAATTATAAGTTTGTAATCGTCAACCCGCATTGAGCAAAAGTAGTTAATTCTCAAACCTTTTCCGTGTGAGAAAAAGACAGTCAGTCAGGTCAGCAGTGGCCATAGAGGGCCGATCCCGCACGTCGCAGGCGTCGAAGAAATAATCGCTGCGGCGCCTAATATGTTGATTCCTTGCCTACAATATTGGTAGGCAAACCTTTGGGGTCATGGGCGCATAGAGTGGGGAATCTAGGCGCCCACCTAATGACCTCAAGGATGACGGCGGCACAGTGGTCACGTGCCGCCGTGCACTGCACAGAAAGGCTCTAGAAGACACACATAGGTTTCCATAGGGAAGTGCCGTAACAAGCGTTGTACTGTGGGGGCTCCGGAGTTGGTCTACTAAGAGGACCTGGTGCCCCCTTCAAGTGCGGATGGTGGCCACCGGGGAGGTTTTAGTGAGGTAACAATACCACATTCCCTAGTCTTTTTCCCCAAAACGCTAGGCGTCTTTGAAAGGTTTCCCCTGTCAATAAAAAAAAGGTCAGCAGTGGCCACTGCTGCCTGTTGGCTGGCTGTTGATAATATGATGTGAGACACAAAACCACCTTTTATAACATTTCCATCACTTTTGTTATTGGTTTAAGAGGCTATAGGGACCTCAACCCATTACTATCGTTATAGTATTGAGTATTAGGATGAATATTGAACAAATATTGACATTTGCGAACCTGGTATCCGCATAGAGATTTTCTAAAACATTATAATATTTTTCCTTATACCGGATACCGGACAGGAGACGTCTTAGTAAGCAGATTACCTAACAATCACCAGGGTGCTTACTCTTGAAACCAATCTCAATATCAATGCAATTTCAATCCAATAAAATCTCAATGTCAAATGTCAATGTCAAAACTATACAACCAAAATCGTAGCTGTTACAATAACATGCAGAGTACTGAATATAAAGCCAAATTCAATACCATTTAGTTCATTAAATATCCACGCAATACGGATGCAATGGGCGCTAGTGTTGCAAGTTACAACTCAAGAGTTCGAAAGGTCACAATATCAATGTCGATCGATCGGAATTGGACTCAAGAGTAAGCCCCCAGAAGTAACTTAGGAGGAAGAGGAAAAATGGTATCGTGAGCCATTTATAAAAAATAAATTGGTCCCTCTTATAGAAAATCAATTAATCCTGTTGTTAATTGCCTTCGGAAGGAAAGCTGACAATTGATGCCTCATGGGGCTCATGGGATATATAAAAATATAATTAGTTGAAAGACGATACAGAAGAAATATAATATAGAAATGTACCCACTAAACCAGTGTAAAGTAGTGTATTATTTAAAGTATAAAATGTCATTACATGAAGACGTGTTTTAAGTACTCGTTGACATCAACAATAACTTCTAAAAAAATGTACATATTACAGTCATACTACACATTATAGTATACATAACATAACATCACGCCTTTTATCCCCGAAGGGGTAGGCAGAGGTGTAGTACATTATGCCACTGTACTATGTAAAACCCTCTTTTCACTATTTATGTTATGAGTCCCATGTAATAGGGGGTGAGCCTATTGCCATATACCGGGCACAATTCCAGACTCTGTGCTACTACTGAGAATTTTTAAAAACCCAGTAATACTTTTCCCGACCCGGGAATCGAACCCGAGACCCCTTACCCGCACTTGCGACCACTCGGCCAACGAGGCATATTAAGAAAAAAAGAAGGAATATAATAGATATGTACCAGTACAAATAAATCAGTGAATTATGTAATGTATAAATGTCATTACCATAAAGAAGACGTGTTATAAGACCTCGTTTACATCAACAATAACTTCTAAAAAAATGTACATATTACATTCATACTACACATAAAATACAATTCGAATAATTTCCATAAAAAAATGTATGAGAATTTCCTACTAGCCAAATCCAAAAATCTTTACACAAGTACATACCGAACATCCCCAATTCCCTAGTGATTTCTATCTCCAATTAAACGCAGAAATGTTGATCCTTTTTATTAACATTCTATTTTATATTTCAGACATCAACGACGCTTATCCTGCTTCTCCACTTATCTCTTCACACAGTTGACGAAGGTCATGCTATAAATCCGAGTAAGTATAAAAGTACTCCTACTTTGTTAGCTTATTATCATTTTGTTTACTGCGTACCATACCGTAATTTGTAACTTTTGTGGCATAATAAAGGGGATTTTCGCTTCTTTGAATGTCATAAACGTCTGAGAGTCTTTGAAATTATTATTGGTGCATTTGGGGTTTTTATTTTAGAAAAAAAATCGGTTATTTTGGTGAATTGACGGCACGGGTGGTGCGGTGGCTGGACAACCGGCTGCCATGCAACGTGTCGCGGATTCGATTCCCGCACGGAACAACACTTTGTGCGATCCACAAATTGTTGTTTCTGGTCTCAGTGTCATGTGTATGTGAACTTGTATGTTTGTAAACGCATCTACGATACAGGAGGCAATCCTGTTGTAAGGCAACGTTTTTTTTTAAATATATAGACCTAAATACTTCAACTTGAAAGATTAAAATGATCGCGCACTTGTCGACATTACATACAGCCAATTGAATCAGAAGAAGAAACTCATTTTGCTTAACTTTCAACTTTACCTAGGTAAACAGTTGAAATTGGGAAAGTCATCATCATCTAGATGAATCTATACAAATAAATAAAATCAGAGTGTCTGTTTGTCGTATTGAAATAACCGCTTTTTACTACATGCATATGAAATACGACACACATACCAAAATATTTTTTTTTACAATTTTTGTCTGTGTTTGTTTGTACTGGCTAATCCCTGGAATGGTTAGACCGATTTTGCAAGACTTTTATTGGCAGGTAGCTGGTATACTAAATAGTAACATAGGTTACTTTTATATGTTGGATAATTGAAACTAAAAAAAAGTAATGTGATATAAAGTTAGTATTCTACTCGGACGAAACAGCTAATTCATAAAATATATAAACACATAACATAACATCACGTCTTTTATCCCCGAAGGGGTAGGCAGAGGTACAATGTAACACCCACTTTTCACTATTTATGTTATGAGTCCCATGTAATAGGGGGTGAGCCTATTGTCATATACCGGGCACAATTCCAGACTCCGTGCTACTACTGATATTTTTTTTAAAAACCCAGTAGTAGTTTGCCCGACTCGGGTTTCGAACCCGAGACCCCTTGCCCGGCAGTCGTACTTGCGAACACTCGGCCAACGAGACATATATAAACATTATGTTATAATATTAATGTAATTATTTTAGGGGATAATGTATGGAAATGGCTTATGGGAAATGGTTGGAAAATCCCCTGAATTTCACTAACGTTCAACAAATTACGTAAACACCTTTATAAATCCCATAGGTACATTGATTTTTCTTCTAAAGGGGCTGATGGAGAAAATATTGTTTTATATGTTTATCTACCTCTAGTTACAATATTTTGCTATTCTATTCCACGTAAATTTACCGCAAAAAATCATTTAGTTTTTGCTACCAAAGCTTACGAAATCATTACATAAACAATTTCTTCAGATGAAAAAACAACAAGTATTTGCATATAAATTGCTACGTTTCCATTATTTTTAGATTTTGTACCTATCTAGTACACAAAAATAATTTACTTTATGTATGAAACATCGCTTAAGCAGATAGCAAACAGAATACTCCTTAAACATCAATTTTACTACAAGTTGCTGAGCTATATTAGCTATTCAAATTAGTACTTTATTGGTAATATTTTAAAGTTTATTTTCCCTTTTATCAACATTGAATAGCACTTAATTGCTCGAACTTATTTGATGCTATTCAGCAAAATGGTAAATGGATAGGTACATTATAAAGCGTTAATTAAAAAAGGTTGGCGATCTTTTTAAGCTCATAGCTAATATTTATATGTAGATAAAAATAAAAGTATTACGTACATTGAGTGAATACATTTTAAACGTGTGGAAGAGCCATGCAAGTGTGGGAGAGCCATGCTTCGACACGAATGGGCCGGCTCGACCGGAGTAATACCACGGCCTCACAGAAAACCGACGTGAAACAACGCCTGCGTTGTGTTTCATCGTGTAAGTGAGGTTACCGGAGGCCCAATTACCCCCTCCCTAGTCACCCGAATCCCCGTATCCTTCACAATCTTCAAATTCCCAATTCCCAAAAGGCCGGTAACGCACTTGTAACGCCTTGGTGTTTCGGGTGTCCATGGGTAACGCCAATTGCTTACCATCAGGTGATCCGTCTGCTCGTTGACCAGCTTATGCTATATAAAAAAAAAAACGTGACATTTAATTTTCGCATGAAAGAAATGTGAAAACTGGATCTTATAAGGGGAATTAGGTTTAACAATATATATGACATGTGGTATCTATAGCACATTTTTAGGTAACAAAGAAGTTCATTCGTAATTCACCTAAGAGTTGAACGGTGAACAACAACACAGAACCAACAAGACTGTCAGTAGAAATTAACACAACAATATTAGCATTCCACTAGTTACGAATTATGATGATAGAAATACATTTACTTGTGACATCATCAGAGGCATTAGCCCAATAAACTACTTAAACACCAGCACATGTGAATTAGGACAAGATTCAAATCCACATGAGTTACCAATCACAGTTACCCTTGTATTCCAGAATTTACATATGCAAGAGACTAATCAGAATAACATTGCTTGAATGCAGTTACAGAATTCACTTGTATTCATTCGCTGTTTAAAACGCTAGTGATATTAACCTTCATGCCCGTAGTCGCTCTTGAAAATGCTAATGATATTACCTTTATGTACTAAAGAGTTAATAGAAGTGCACATGATGAAATGTAATACAGTCTGTTTTATTTCACAGTAATCAGTAATGTAATATAGAGGTTTGAGAACTTTTAAAATCATAGTGTCTAGTATTCAGTATGAATTTAGTTCATTCGGTAAATCAACTCGAGACTATGTGCTATAGTCACAATTGCAACCCCTTAAACAATAAGGTAGGCTTGAAGAAAGATACCAAACCACCAACCATAATGAACAATAGCACATCATGATTTTATGGGAATTAACGAAAATGAAGAGAAAATCGATACATAAAATTTCTTAAGAAAAAGACATCGATTCGAATACTCAATCCTAAGTTTCGATATTTAACACTGCGTTATATTCAGAAGTTTATACGCAAGACTCTGGCCAACCGAGAGTGGTAACGAACCGGATTTACGTTTATCGATTTTCTATTGAGCAGCTTTCGACTTCAGAGTTTTCCCTTGGCGAAATCAATGTCATAGAAAATCGAGTTATAAGAATCGAAGAAGTAAGGAAAAAGTCACAGGAATTTGTGGAATTACAAAATATGGGATAAATAATACACGAAATGTATTTTGTATTTAATCTTATGTAGTTAATTTACTATTGTCATTGGATGGACAAAGATAGATGTATGAAACATGACACAATTACATTCGGTTGATGATAAGTGGGAAGACCCATAGTCCACCAGAGGACTATCGTGGGCTATCGGTGATATGGAATAGCATTAAAGATCTTATGCTAAATCAATTATCGATGTATCCTACATTGAATAAAAGTGTTCTTATAGTAGATGAACGTGCCAAAAGCCAACCAGATACTCTAGCACAGCGAAAAAATGAAATTGAAAACTATACACTTCAAGTATTCTATCTTATACCTTCAGTCTTACATTTTCAACAACATCTTTATTATTGTCAAACAAATTCAAATGGGGTTAGAAGAAATAACACTGATTGAAGTTCACATCAAAGAATATCTTAATCTAAACAAAACATCAAAGATTCATTATTTGAAACTGGTTCTACAATAAATTCTGTGATGTCAAACAAGATTTTACGATCCAATTTTGTCTGGATTATACTCTCGTCATTGTGAAGTCTTTTATTGCTGACATAAAAGTATCGTAAGAATCTTTTCAATATGATGTATCAGAAAATAATATCATATGCATTAGAAAGTTCGGTACCGTTCGTGAATTTCGAATGTTTCTTTGTTTTACTTTGGTTTTTATAAAATGTATTCTGTATTTTCTTTGTAAGTAATGCTTTTGTTTGTGTATTTATTTTGGTTTGAATTTAAAGGCAAGTAATATATACATAGGTAATATTTAACGTGACTTCAACTTAACAGCATGGTTCTTATAAATTCTGAAAACTACATTTATATGCTTTATAAGTTCAAATTTTCTAACGTCTAATTGGACTCGAAATAAAAAATCCAAAATATATTTTCTCATGCAGAATTCTTTACTAATGGTTCAATCAGCAATGAAATGAAAACTCTAATTTTATGCATTACGCTACATTTTGAACTATTCAAACATAACGAAGTTGAAATTCAAATCAAATAAACAGAGTCATGATGCGTTCAAATACCAGCAATATAATTAAACGAGATAGCATGATAAAAATATTTGTATTCAACAATATGTTCATCTGTATTTCATGCGTAGTTTAAAAAACCTATAACATAATATAGTATAGAGTATTTCAATGTATAACGTAGAGTGTTTCAATGAGCTATGTGGTAATATTAGTTCTAAATATATAAAAGAAAGACGGGTTTGTTCCAACACTTATAACTTGAGATCGTCTAGACCAAATTTCATGGTTTTTGATTCGTCGACTGCACGGTTAGCGAATTGGTTAAGTGACCTACAATGCCCCGTACCGGAAAAACACTGATAAAGGCATTTATTTCATTAAAATTACCATTATTAGCCCTGAGTCACGAAGTTAGGCTGTGTTTCTCCCCCATACTTCAGACAGCACGCAAAGCCGTTGGTCCAGTGCATGATATATCTCCAGTCGTTGTAGGTCATATGTTTACGCACAGACTCATGCACTATAATAAATACTGCGTAATGGGCTAGTGCAGTTAGACTGGCCACCATGATCGAAATCGATCGAGAAATTGATATTAGTACCTTCATACATAGTCACCATCTCTAATCTTCGCGTTCTCGAGCCGACTAACAGTCGAAATAACTTTAGCTTTAACTTTAGCTAGAATTAGCTGTGGGTATGGAATTTCTGTCAACACTTACATCGATCCAGATATTTTGGATTACGATTATCGATTTCGGTCATTGATAAGCAACTTGCATAGTTTTTGCGGATAAGCCAGTAAACTAGTAGACAGCTCACCTAATGGTAAGCAATCGGCGTCGCCCATGGACACCTGGAACACCAGAGGCGTTACAATTGCATTACCGGCCTTTTTAGGATTACGAATTTGAGGTTTGTTGGGGATTCAGGAAATGGGGAGATTGCGGGGGGGGGGGTGATTGGGCTTTCTGTAACCTCACTCGCACAAACGAAACACAACGCAAGCTTTGTTTCACACCGGTTTTCTGTGAGGCCGTGATATCACTTCGGTCGAGCCGGCCCATTAGCGCCGAAGCATGGCTACTCCCACACTTAACAGATACCGAAACATCAAGTGTTGTTTCTCGCCGGTTTACTATGAGATCGTGGCACAATTTTGTAAACAAACAGAAAATAAAACGGCCATAAAAATATGTAGGTTAACCATTGTTTATTTGGTTATATTACGTGAATGAACACGATGTCTTACTTGTGTAATACTTATTTACAAAATCTTTGTTTTTTTCCTTGATTTATTGTTTTTTATTTTGTTTTATGATCAACAAGGTTACAAAATACAGTCGTATTTCCTGGCGACGGTGTAGTCTCGATGATTGTTATTGGGAATGAAGAAATCGCTAGCCCGATTTCTAAACGAACGAACGTTCTTTTACTGTAATACACATTCAGATGCCGGTTTTGTATAAACGGGGACGCCATTACCGCTTACCGGTACCTACCGCGTCGTCGCGTGCGCTTGAGGTTATTTTATTAGGCGAATGTGACATCTGTTATGTAAATGTCAGTGTCAAGCTGACAAATATAATGAATCTCCTGAACTAAACGCATGTTTAGTTCGGGAGATTTATTTATTTTATTTATTGTACAAATAATTTTTGTTATTTTAATTTTGAATTGTATATATATATATATATATATATATTTTACTGTTTTCTATTATTATTATTAAATGTAATATTTTATTAGTAACGGGCAAGTGCTGAAAATCAGCGCCGTGACTCGAGCACACTCGTGTCACGGCATTTAAGCTGAGCTCTTGCCTTTTTGCGCCGTCTTTTTTCTTTGTATTGCTTCTTATTTTATTTCCTTGTGTCAGTGTGCAAATAAAAAAATTTCTTTCTTTCTTTCTAAACTGGCGGTTTCGATAATTCAAGATTCTCAGTAGTTCAAAACCTGGAATTATCTATAGATACAGTCTCGATATTATAGAGTTTATAGTGGAGCTGACAAAAATATTTTATTTAACATAACATAACATACCATCACGCTTTTTATCCCCGAAGGGGTAAGCAGATATATGAATGTAACACCCACTTTTCACTATGTTATGAGTCCCATGTAATAGGGGGTGAGTTTATTGTCATATACCGGGCACATTTCCAGGCACAGTGCTACGACTGTGATTTTTTTTAAAAACCCAATAATACTTTGCCCGACCCGGGAATCGAACCCGAGACCCCTCGCCCGGCAATCGCACTTGCGACCACTAGGCAGTATTTTATTTAAGTACCTACTTAATGATAAAATTCGAGTTTCTGGCATTGATTGAATATTACCGTGCCGTGACATAGTTTCAACGTGTTTCACTAAAACGATTACATACGCAGACCTACATTGATTTCGGTAGATTACTCCCGAATTTGATTATCGATATTGTAATTAAATTCTGTATTGTGAAAACGGTTTAATCAATGTTACGCAATGTTCATTATAATGATTTCAATGTCTTTAATTAACGTTAGAAATTGAGTGTTTAACCTCGATACAATAATACGTTTTCTCCGTAGATGAGTAAATAAGGGCATATATTTTTCATGTTACGGTTCAATTAATGTTGTACAAACGCACTTATAAATTGTAATAGGTGTCTAAATTCTTCTTCTTCAACACATCAAATCATTCTTTCAGTAACCATGCCACACTAATTAGAATATATATTTTATTGTTAAACCAAAACCAATATGTAATTTTAATTACTTCGTCTAAATAACCTGTTGTCATAAAAGTCTTTCTTTCTTTTCATAAACGTATACAAATAACCTTCCAGAAATACTGCTCAAGAAAACATTGAATGAAAACCTCGAGCACCGGATCATCCTGATATAATATTCAGAATTATCATTTGCTCCCAGACTATAATGCTAGGCAGGGAGTCAGAACAGGGAAATGTTTTCCCAAAAAATTATACCGCAAATAAATTCGGTGTAACGTAAGTTTATCTTCAATTTTACTCAAAATAACGTCTTGAATATCTCATTTGACACCGTTGAAGATTACGGTAAAGTCGTAAGTCGGCGCCGGAGTATTTTTACATAAAATATTCATCATCGCTAAAGCTCCGAATCGCGTGCCACGTTCGTCACCTCTTTTTTCGACGGTATATTTGTTCCCTCTGTTTCATTAAGCATTGTCGTTATAGCTTTTATTATATCGTCGAAAGGCAATTATGCTGTAGGTACAGAGAAGGCTTTTGTGTTTTTTTTGTTATTTTATTTCGAGGTGGCGAATATCACATGTTTAGGACAATGGATTCATATTTTTGGGTTATGTGTTTTTTTTTTCTTCCAAATCACCTTTTTGTTAGTCCCCATTGTGTGAGATTTTACATTCTAAACTGGGTTAATGATTTTAATGCTCGGCTCACTGGAATTTAAATGTATAATCTTATCATTATAATTGGGATGATGACGGGGTCTGAAAATTAAAAATCTGTTTAGTCCGTAAGTTAGGTAATAAAACACGTATTTTTTTAATTTTGTTGTATAATAAAACAATACTTAGATAAAACGAATCAAAGTTTAGGAGTGGGGGCTAAAACGTCTTTTCTACGTTTAAAATGTACATAGAAGTGACGTCACGCGACATTTCAAATGAATATATCGTCGAAAGTATTCGTTTCTGTAGGAAAATAAAAAATACGTGTTTAACGATTTAAAATAATCTAAAAAAAATCTTTCACGTTTGATTTTGATGGGTAAAGTTATGGGAATTATGTTGAAATGGATCGCCTCATAAAATCGTTCACCCTATAAATATATTTGTTTAGGCTATGTATTCACTTGCTGTGATTAAGCATTACTTTTAAGAAGATAGGATTGTTTTACTTCTGTATAAAACACACTTTTCGTTTTACTTTTTCATACTATTTCATTTACCTCTGTTTCCAGTCCATATTTGAGTATCATCTTAATGGACAAACCTTTTTTAAGGTTAACTGATTATAATTATTGTAAAAAACCATAAGATGCAAGCTACGAATCATCGTTTGTTTTGCGGATTGATGTGAAATGTTTTTTCGGCAATAATATAGAAAAAAAATCATTTTTAAAAATCGAACCGTCATGTATTCTACCATACACTTCACACAGTGCCTCACTGCTTCCTGAATTTAATTTATGATCCACATAATCATGTTCAAAATCCATCTCCGTATGATTCTTGATTCCTTATTTCATTTACCAGGTTGTACGTGTATCCGCTACACGTCGACGTATGGCAAGGAGCGCGGCACGTTCAGCAGCCCCGACTACCCGCGCCCCTACCCGCCTCGCATCGACTGTCTCCTCTACACCTTCGTCGCGGCGCCCCACGAGATTGTCGAGCTCGTCTTCACCGACTTTGACATCTTTAAAGGACATCTTGAGTGAGTTGGATTTGTCTTTGCATTGGAAATCTTCTTTGGTATTTTTGCTTTGTTTTTGTTTATTAAATTGAATCAAAGTGTTCTTGTTATTATTATTAGTAAGTGTAGAATGAAATACAAATTGAAGAGCTATAATTACTTCCTATTCTAATTCGATTGTTTGACATTTTTCATTAGTAAACTCGCACTATTTTAGTGTAAAGTCTTCGTTATTCATAGAAAAATAACCATGGTAAAACAAAGTCCCCAAACAACAACATCATCATCAACAGTTTGTGCATCAACTTCTGAATTATGATCCTTCTCAGAAGGATTGCCAAAATTTTCATGCTTTGCAAAATATTATACACTATGCCAATTTATTTTTTACACACTTTTGATTGGAGTTCTTTTAGGTGATACGAAAAATATACTCAACAGCAGTGTAAAACTGTATTATCAAATTACGAAACAGTTACACTTTCCCATCCAATAAAAAGTAAATGCATTTCATTGAATCGACTGTGAAATTGCTCAAAAGACCATTTCAGTTACACGTTTCCATCGGTCAAAAATTTTCAACTTCAACAATGTTTTGAACACAACATTTCCCTTCAATTTGCGAATAAATGGACGTTGAATTTTAAATTTTTCATTTCGTGGTAATCTAAAGCCTGTATTAAGGCTGGCTACTGAAACCAATTTGTGGTTAGACTTGGGAAAATCAAGTGCAAATTGACCTCTCGATCTTTGGTGGAGCAGTGATGTTTCAGCTTGTTTCCCATTTGGTTATTGTAATGACGTAATGTTAGTTAACAGTAAACTAATGTGATACGGTTGCACTACGTACCTATTATCTTAAAATAAGTATTTCTAACACAAATAATAACAAAAAATAAACATCATACTTTGTTCAATCCAAGATTAAAGTCAACTCAACCTTGTTTTCTTGGTAGTCATGCTTAAAACCACTTCGAGACGTCAAAAGTACAACTTTTGCTTCCCACATTTTATCTCCTAAATTATCATTAAAATTGCCTAGCTCATTAAAAACATTAGTGAGAGCTAACGTAGGATATTGCCCTTTAAATTTAACTTGACAATAAGCAGCTCGCGAGTCCTAAGAAATGAACGTAAGGACGCATTTACATTTTCGTCACATTTGTAGCAATAAAGTTGCCGATGTAAACGTTTCGAGACAGCAGTTTCGGAGCGCAATAATGCTCATTTAAGTGTAAGGAATCCCTGAATACGCGACTTTCAAATTATACGACCGACTTTATTATTGTTCGTGTTTTTACGTCGTTCCCAGTCGGGGATTAACATTTGAAAGACTTTGAATATTGGTTTATATTTTGTGTCAATATTTATGTCTATGGAAGGAATTACGAGTAAATGTATAATTATGTTTTTGTTGGGTTTTTGATGTATAGATTCTTTCTATTTGAATAAAGTCAACAATGTAAAAATAAGACGATATAGTCTTTTTGCTCAATTCTGGACTCTGTGCTGTAAGACACAAGCGGATCTTATTTTTATTTGATGAGCCGATGTTTGACCTCTATCTCGCCTGGTGGTAAGCGATGTTGCAGTCTACGATGGAGTATTATCTATTCTATATAGTTTTAGAAAACTTTCAAATCTATCAATCAATGTACTTTAAAACCAATTCAATCGTCATTCGCCATCGCCAAAAGCAATCATCCTAAAACATACTCTTCACTGACATTCAATACGCGTACAGCTACGAAACATTAATAAACCAACACGTACCTAATCTTTTATCCCGAACACAAAACCTCAGCACGTTAAATAAAAATGCCAACAAATTTCCATTTCCGTAAATGAATTCTGAATCCAACTCCTAATTCCGATAATGAACCAATATCTAAAGCAAGGCAATCAATGTAATTGCGAGTGGGGGAATCGAGGGAAAAAATGTACGGTTAAATACTCCTGGATGGCGTTATTTTAATCTCATCTCACAATAGATACATCGAGAACAAAAAATCTCATCTCGAAATTGCTCTATTCACATCGTATCCTGAACCAATTACGACGAAATTAATGTTTCCTACATACACAGCGTTGGGTGAGTTTTTACTAACGATTCTCGGTTGTAACTCGTTTAAAGTGCCTATATTTTTTCACCGTTTAATTCATGAGGTTTATGGAGATGCTTTTTTGTTTCGATGATTGTTTTTTGGCTGTTTGTTCGGATTTATGATATCCTAGTGATTATTGGAGGAGATAGTAGTTTTTAATTCAGTTACTTTTCAGTTAGTAATGTGTTTATGTTGTGTTTTCGTTGGAGTTATCATTGGTGTCACGGTTCAAATAGTACTACAACGTTTTAGCGTACTTGATTTTCATTGCTTGTTTTTATGTACGTAACTATTTTTTTCTTTAAATGTGGATTACTTTTTTGATACTTACACACAGTATAAACATGTTCACTGGCGATTTGTTGGTGTACTTATAACTAGCATTCGTATACCTTAGGATGAAAAAGCAGGTCAAAATTCGAAATAAACTCTTATCCCACAACGAGTTAAACCGGCAACCCGCATCCAGAGTTTTTAATTACATTATAATGAAAATTAAACAATACGATTTTAGATTAGCACGGTAGTACTTGCAACCTTTTGTTAGGCCATCATTTGTCTTTGTCCCGACGGCACTATTGTTGGCCATAAATACAACGCCCTCACGTGGAAATAAGTGGAAATTGTTCAATGTGTTGGAGACAGGAAGATATTTTTCGGGCACAAGTATGTCATTTTTATCAAGTTCTTAGATTATTGTTGTTGGATTTGTAGATTTTTTTTTTTGTTTTATGTAAAAAGGGTTTTATGCAGAAGTTTATAAGACACATTGTTGTGTGTTATAGGTATATTATTTAAATAAAATATTGATATTATCCATCACATACTAATTAATTATAAGTTTTATAATGATTTATTATAGAGCTAGTATCGATGCTCACTGTCAGATATTTAGTAGAAACACACGCAAATCAAGTAACGCTAAGATAGTACATATTTATGAAGTCACAATAATCTAATCATATTATTTGAGGTTTGATCAAGTTCCATACTACACTGAAATGAATATCGTATAATACATTGACCCGTCAAAACTGAACGAAACGTATAAAAAACAAACAGCAGCGTAGCAAAATATTGTTTCGCTTCCTCCAACTGTCTCCCGTATTTTTTCGCAACAAACTTTCTACTTTAATAAACTATCGGTGCTTCTGTTTCGTATTTTTTTTTATTTGTAAGTAAAAAAGTATTTTCCACAACTTTGTCCGTCATCAGTCGAAAGATTTACTGTTCTTTTGTTCTATACGTTTGCAATAAAGTTGAGAATTGCAAAGCAACGATTGTTACTTATAACTTTGTTTTAATATTGATCTTGGTAAAACAATTTTCTTTGTAATGCGCAAAGTATTAAATTCAATAATCGTTTCGCTGTACTTATTCTTTTTTATTACTTGCGTATACAATGTGTAACAGAGAAGTGGTCATATTTTAAGGAGTAATTGTGTATGTACGTATTTATTGCGTTCAACTAGAAAGAAGTGAAAAAAAAGCTGTTCCAATTTGCTCAATAGATGTAAAATGTTTTGTATTTTACGGGGACTTATTATAGGTTTTATAATTCATAATCACACTATTATTATATGAATACAAAATATGTTGCCATATTGACAATGGAATTATTTTTCAAGACTGGAGTCTCCTAATCTAGCAATAGCACAGCTTCAAATTGTAGTACGATTTATTAGACGACGGAGGAATTGCGAATGTAAAATTATAAAACCTATATGTCCCCAAGGATTTAAGCTAAGGACACACGGCCCTATCTTCTCCTGCGCTCGCCGCAGTGGCGGAATTTTCAAAATTTACGAAACTGCAGTTTTCTGTGAACCGCATCCGCCGTGGTTACGATTATCCTCCGCAAACTTGGTGGTTGATTATCGCAAGATGGGCGGGCGATTAAACAATCAGTGGAGTTCCAAACCGGCCGTCCTATTGCGATCGCCCGCCAACCGATCGCAGAACGCTTGCTGAGGGATTGCGGTAGCGGGAGCCACAAACAATCGAAACCGCTGCGGGCGTAAACCGCGCCGAGAAAATTGCATTGATTTTTTACATACATATCTGTATTCTATAAAGGCTGCGAACCCACAACCGCGGCTGCCGCGGGAGAAAATCGCGCCGTGAGTTCTTAGCCTTACATTTCCATAAATAAATTAATCTTGCCACATGAAAATCCTAAAACCAATTTTACGGTCTGAATTCAAGAAAAGATTGTAAAATTTTTGGCATATCAATTCGTTATTACGATATTTCAATCGTCAAGGCGGTAGCCTTTAGAGCTTTACACCTCGTGAACGAAATATACGGGGCTATACGTTCATACATATTTCTGAAAAGATGAATCCTCAGTTGGATCGAGACCGGTTCAGCCCCGCTTAAGCGAATAATACTCGGATTGCCAAATCCAACCCTCTTTCTTTTTGAATAATTTTGACGAATTCGCTTAGGACCCCACCATTAAGGATTTAAATTGCTTTTATCTGTAGAATGTTATCTTTCAGAACATTATCCCTGACCAATTTCTTTCTCAAGCTTTTCATTAACAATAAAGGTTCTGTTACGTTATTTCGTTTCTGTTTGATTGGTTTTGTGGTTATAAGTAAGGCTGCTGTACAAGTGGTCGTGAAAAAGTACTTTTATGCTCTTTAACCGACTTCAAACAAAGAATGAGGTTCTCAGATTGACCTGTATGTAATGTATGTATGTTTGTGCGCAAACATCTCGCGATTAGCAAAACCGATTTTGATGTGGTTTTGAGAATAGTGTTCGTTAAACCTCGGAGAAGGTTTTAGTATTTAATTAACCGACTTCAAGAAAAGAGTGGGTTAAATGCGTTTCTTTCAAACGTAAAAGATAAAAGAGCTATATAGGTTTTTAGTTTTTGGTTGAAGACTGATACTCAAGGACGAAGTATCG